TAACATATAAATATAATTTATTAATTAATGTTAATCCATAATAATAATAAAATAGAGAATAATTATATAAATATAACATTCTCCCACTTGGATAACATTAATCAATAAATTAAATATATCAATTACAACACAAGCACATATATCAGTTAACAATATAAGAAATATAAACATAACCAGAAAGATAGTTTCCGATAGGGATACATACCTTATGCCTATATTTCATAAATAATGGATAATGAAAAACATAATAAAATATGTGATCCCAAAAATGATCCAAGCAATTTTATATGCTAAAAGAGATGTAATGAAAACGACGTCATTGATAAATTTACATCTCATGAAAACCATAATAATAAAAAATGTAATTTTCAGACTCCCACTAACCCAATACATCAAAAAACTTAACCACACCCATATGAGTTACATATGATTTTGAAAAACTCAAATAGCTAAGTCTTTAGTTAGTGGATCTGCTAACATATTTTCTGCAGCAATATGCTCAATTCGAGTATGAAAATCCAAAACCTTCTCTCTAACAAACATAAATTTTATATCAAAATGCTTTGAGCTAATAGAACTTCTGTTGTTTTGAGAGAAATGCATAGCAATAGTATTGTCGCAATATATCACAAGTGGCCTAGAAATACTTTCAACAATATGAAAGCTAGAAATTAAATTTTTAAGCCACACAACTTGACAAGTAGCATTATAACAAGCGACATACTCTGTCTCAATGGTAGAAGTAGCTATAAGAGTCTGTTTAACACTCTTCCAAGAAATAGCTCCTCCTACCATCATAAAAACAAAGCCGGAAGTAGATTTTTGGTCGTCAGGGAAACTAGCAAAATCAGAATCAGTATAACTAATGACCTAAAGTTGATCAGATTTCTTATAGGTCAACATATGATCCTTGGTTCCCTATAGATATCTAAAGACCTTTTCAAAGGCTTTCCAATGACCCAAACCCGAGTCGCTCAAGTATTTCCCTAAAGCATTAACAACAAAAATAATATCGGGACGAATACAAACTTGAGCATACATCAAACTACTAATAGCGGAAGCATATGGGACCTTTTTCCATTTCAACTCTATCATTATTATTTTGAGGACATTGAGATTTAGAGAGTTTGTCACCTTTTTTGAACAGGTGCAACAATGGGGAGAAAAATTGCATGTTAAACTATTTGAGGACTTTATCAATATACCCTCTCTGAGACAATCCAAGAATGCCACGTGACCTATCATGGAAAATATGAATGCCTATAACAACAGAGGCATCACCAAGGTCCTTCATATAAAAGTGGCTATTTAACAAATTTTTTCTCAGTCAAAAGTTTAACACTACTACTAGCAAGAAGAATATCATCAACATAAAAGACAAGAATGATGAAATGACTCCCACTAGTCTTCAATTAAATGCACTAATCTGAAGCATTTTCCTTGAAGTAAAAAAGAAGTGAACACCTGATCAAATTTCAAATACCATATGTGGTCTTCTCAATAAGAGACAAATATTGACCTTTTTGAGCTTTGTCAAAAGTCTTAAATTTCTCACCAACTGACTTGAAAAAAATCATTAGCCTTATCATTTTTTTTGGAATGCTCTGTCGAATAGACTTCTCCATGGTGTATTTCATCACCATCAGATACACCATATTTGAGTGTTCCCATTTCTCATGAGAAGTTCTTTAGACAATAGTGGACTTAAGAGTAAGAGTTGGAGGCTCTTTCTCTCTTAAGAAAAAGTCCATATTAGTAATTGTCATATATAAGTCCAGAGATTCATTCTGGTCCTCAAAATTTGTCCCATTCAATATTTTGACCGAAGTCAATTGCATAGGCAAAAAAAAATCAGTATCCAAACAACAAAGAAACATTTAATATGCACAATTGTTATGGAATAAAAAATTAAATGTTTCTAAATACACAACCAAACATACCTATAATATAAAATTTCTCATTCATTATGATCCTGCCTAAGGGTCCTGAACCATAATAAATAAGAAATACAAAATGCAACGCACAACTTATGTAAAAAAAATCTAATACCGATAGCGTACTTGAAAAATAATTGACATAAGATAAAATTAAGAAAAAAAATTGTATCATAATACCAAAATACATTAACAACAAAATACCAATAGGGCATAATTATCATTAATGTAATATAAAATTAATTAGAGAAATAATTAAATTATTTCATTCACACAAATTTCATATAATTGTACCCACGATAGGTGAGATCACAATCATATAAATTTATATTAATCATGTTTAACAAAATATAATAAAATTATATTATGCATGAACATCATTTGAAATAAGTACAAAACAAACAACTATTAATACAAATAAGGGTCATTTTTTTTAACTCAAGTATATATATACTACCAAGGAGAGTATAACATACTAACATGTCACTAAGATAACAAGAAACATATATATATAAAAAAATTCAGACCCAAATCCCAACAGTACAATATTTAAAATTAAGTTCAAATTAAGTTTTATTCTTGGAATAATTAAAAAAAATAGTTATAGGTAAAAAAAATTACAAAAAATATATCAAATAATTAGAAAATTAATTATTTAATTTTAAAATATAAATATAAATTTCCTAGCCAAAATAGGGTCTCACGTGCCTAGCTCTGTGAGTGGACAGTCACATGCATTACTGTTCATCTTCTCCTTCACTTGAAAAATAGAAAACGAGTCGTTCGACTCATAACAAAAACTCGGCGCAAAACCACCATTACAGGCAACGAAAGACTGCAATTTTTTGACCAAATGATTGCTACTTCACGGCAATCCAAAACCCCTTATCAATTTCAGGAATAATCGATTCAAAGAAAACAAATTTAAATCTGAGAAATTGGGGTTTTGAAGATATCCGCGACGAAAAGAGACAAAAAATTTGTCAAATTTTTTAATCAATTCTTTCTTAAAATGTGCAGATTTATTCAACATCCAGAGGTAAATAAAAGTCCCCAATCAATTGCAACGAATAATCATTGAAAAATGAGGAAAAATGAATCTAAATTGCTCACTGAATAGAACAAGCTCAGAAAAAAAAAATTGCACAAGGTTTGAAATACATGTAGAAAGAAAACCCCTTTGACAATTTGTTCAATTGATGAATATAATCTAAGTTGTCATTTTTCGAACGAAGAAGAAAAAAATTTCTATTATTCGAAATCAAAATTGAACTTGAGAAATGACATTTGCAATATTTATACAGTATTTACACATTAGGATAAAATCCTACAATAAAAATTTCTAATTTTTTTTTATATACAATTTGTGAATAATTCATACATAGGATACTGATTCTATAACCTAGAACAACCATAATTTGTATCTTAATGGCTCTGATACTAATTGAAAGAAATTCACAGTGATTAGTCAATTAATGAATAATATAATATATAATATTATAGTATGTTAGAGCAAGGTTTAGAAAGAATTGCGTACCCGGATTCAATTAGGGATCCATTCTTATTGATCTTGAACAATGTGAGAGAAGAAAGATAAAATTAAGATAAAAGATGCGAGGTCTCAAGGACCTCTACCTTAGCCATGTTGGACGCAAATTGTGTAACATCGGACATGGGTGAGGCAGAGAGCTCCCTTCCCGGGTATTGTATGTGTAGCATTAGGCATTAGTTGTTGAAGAAGACATGATGTTGTGAATTGTTGGTTAAGAAGTAGATATGATTTGTGAGTTGTATGTTGACCAACTTGTATGTTATTTGTGTATTGGTGTCGAATATACAATGTGTTGTTAAGATGTTTGTTGATTATAGAGTTGAATTTGAGTTGTGAGATGTAAAGTAGTGTATTGATTATGTTGTCATGTTATTGAATTGTGTTGACTGCTTAGAACTAGAGGAGAGATTTTTGAAAGTTATGTATCCCATTGTGTGGATATTATATTATGGTGCTCCAAAAACCTAATTTGTTGAAAATTCTTTTTGAAAAGTTGACCCTTGAAGTGGATGTTGTGTTGCTTCTCCTTTAAAACTTTATTGGTACCCTGTGTAGGTAAGGTCAAGGCACACATGTATGAAGCAACCACGATATAGGGGTCAGGTTGAGCTATACTGATTATAAGTGACTAACCAAGTAAAATACGAAGTTGGGAATGTAGTTCCTAACTAACTATTGGAAGGACATAGTATTTTGAGGATAGTTGGTGGACTAATCCCATAAGAGGCTTGGTTAAGCTAGCTAATGCCATGGTAGGTCCTTACCTAACTGTTTTACCTTGACAATAATATTATACTTCCTTGTTTAAGTGGCGATATTCAAGAAATCGAGTTGATGTGTTGTGAATTTTTATCCAATTTGTTATTGATCTAACAAGCCCAAAAAGATCACCCTGTGATGTCGGTTGGGTCAAATCACTTAAACTACTCACCTTGTGTTGTAAGAAATCTCTCAGTTGAAATGTGTGACAACGCTTATAATTATTGTGTTGAGTATATGATGTGTTGAACTGATTGTGTTGTTCATGTGTTGAAATATGATGACATGTGATGTTGTGTTGAATTTAAAATTGTTGTATTGATTTGTGTTGTATTGATTTGTGTTGTATATTGTAATGCCTTGTTATTGTGTTGTTAAAGATGATTATGTGATGTTCTTATGTTGCATATATGTTGTTTCTTTTTTTACTCTAACTCACTCTTACGTGTTTTCATGTGGTGTGAACTACAATATCATATATAGAGTGAGAGTAGGACATGGATAGGATAGGATTAAAGTGTTGTTATGGAGGTCACTTAGAGATGCATGAGTCGAAGAATATTTTATCAACTACTCGGTTGTGATAAATTTGTATAAACAATTATAATTGTTTGACTAACAACTTAAGATATATAATTTATATTTATTGAATTACTATATTTATATTACATTTATTTATTTACTTGATTTCTTTTAGATGTACATAATATAAAAATTATTTAATAAAAATGGGTACAATACAATACAATTCGGATTTTACAATTCGTTCGGATCGTTCGAAATTTTTTTTTTTTCTTTTTCAACAGCCCCGAGTTTGTTTACTGAGTCTACACTCTAGCGTCTCTGCTCATGTGTGTGGGGTTAAGTGAATAGAAAGTGTAAACCTTGATGATCTTGTTGAACCTCAAATTTCAGCATGAAAATAACTTTATCAATTCCTCTCCAGCGTGGCAATGTTCATTTTGGGACAAGTTTTGGTTCGATAACCCCAACGTTGTCTCAAAAGCGCAGCATGTTCATTCTAGGTATGGGATTCGTGGGCCAATCACTTGCACGCAAACTCCACAATCAAGGATGGTTCGTTTCATTACATGACATTTTCTTCCCTTCACTATTCACTTTTTTCACTTCAATTTCTCTCTTATTGGATTGATTAATATTTATTGGTAGGATCGTGTCCGGTACTTGCACAACCCATGTGAAGAAGAAGCAGCTCCAGGACACGGGCTTTCATGTTCACCTCTTTGATGCAAATCACCCTGAGTGAGTTAACTGCTAATTTTGCTTTCAAGTTTTCTTTTTTTTCTTTAAAAAAGCACAAATTGTTATGTGGGTGTTAATTGGATTAGCTGTCCAACTTGAGGACTATAATAGACTTGTTTTGGGTCTGTGGATGCTGTATTGCTGCATCATACATGCTATGAGATCATAGAATATACAGGTTTGGTTGGATAACTTTTTCGGGAAGCATTTATAGGAGAAAAAAAAAATCCAAATAAGTTTCTCCATAAGTTAAAAACTAGCATATGGATAAGTTAAAAATAACATTTTGGAGAAGCTAATAGGAGAGAACTTTTATAAATTAACTTATGCATAAGATAATTTTAACTTGTAGAAAAACTTATTTCATTTTTTCTTTTTATTTCCCTCTTCTAGAAATGTTTCTGAAGAAGTTTACTCAATTAGGAGCATAGTTGCTAAGAGGATCTTGTGATGAATAATATCTTTGCAGATTAGGTCTTCAAGTCCACTAAGGTCGTGTGATTCATGTAGCCGACCTCACTTAATGAAATAAGGCTTTTGTTGTTGTTGTTGTTTTGCAGTCCGGGTATCCTACAACTAGTGAAAAATTACACTCACATTCTTGTTTCTGTCCCCCCTGTTGTGGGTATTGGTGACCCGGTATGATTTTACTGTAATATGTCACTCACCATTCTGTGTAGATTTTGTACTCTGGGGGTAATCTCTTTCAGCTTCCCCTTTTTCTGAATTGTATTCTGTTGATTTGTAGATGCTTCAGCATGAAGAAGTTATAAGAAGCTCATTAGTCAATGGGGATCTTCAATGGCTCTGTTACTTGTCTTCAACAAGTAAGTCTTAATTGAAATTTGTAAGGAGTATAATGATATGGTTTTGTCATGCAATAAATGCCTGGAGATGCATTATCTATTAGATAAATGTTCGGCTGTTCGCACAACACTTTGGCTGTTTAGAGCAAGTAACCTTTGAAGGTTGGAAGGCATATACACTTGTTTGATCAATGCACAAACTCTTCCCGCTGGCATCAAATTCTAATGCTATTTAGTGCTTGTTGATGATTGAAAGTTCTTCATTCTTATAATTATAAACTCAAAGACATTGTTAACTTCTTGTTGTAAACCAGAAGGGGGATGGCTATTTAAATATGACTTTGTTAATGAGCTGATGAAGAATATGTTATTGTTATGTACACCTTTTCTGTTAAGTTGATCTTACGGGAAATTCAGTTTGCTCACCTGGTTGCTGATTTAATCTGTCAATAGCAGTCATATGGTTAACTACTTATCCCCTAAAAAAATATTTTGACCTTTTATTGAGTGGATTGACCCAAGGCTTCTTAGATTCTTGTAAATCTAGCAAGAAAATGATTTCATTATAAATTATAAATAATAATAAAAATCATTACAAATGTAAAAGAAGCTAGCATGATTTAGCATATTATGCATAAAGATACTAACATAGGATTCAATTCAGATATTTAGTTGCCACACTGGTTGTTAGCTTATACACTTGAGGCTTTCTAGAACTAGGCTTGCCCCTCTGCAAGTCATGCGCTGCTGCTTCTTAGACATATGTTTGTAATGCTTTCAGATTCAAATATGATGATGGAGACACTTTCTGTCTTGCAGGTGTCTATGGAGACTGTGATGGTGAATTGGTGGATGAGGAGTAAGAGAGTGTAACTAAATCACTTGCCTTCCAAAATTTCTGAAACTTCTCTGTTAGTTGGCTCTTAGTGTGTGCATCATGCTTTGACAGTTATCCAACAAACCCAGAAAGTGAGTTGACTAAATTAAGGTTAATGTCTGAAGAAGGCTGGTCAAATTTGGCTCACTATCTTGGGATTTCACCGCTTTTATTTCGACTGGGAGGTATTTATGGCCCGGGTAGAAGGTACTTAACTTTTACTGTAATTTATCTTTGGTTTAAATACTTTTTTGGTTTTTAAAGTTTCATGAACTTTACCTTTTAGTCTCTATAATTAAAAAAAAAATCATTTTAGTTCCTACACATTGTTTTTGTTTCCTTTTAGTTCCTATAGTTTCAAAAAATTTCTTTTAATCCCTATAGCCATTGACGAAAGGACTAAAACAACAAAAATTGTATGTATAGGGACTAAAATGAATCTTTTTAATTATAGGGGTTATAAGGTAAAGTTTATGAAGTTATAGAGACCAAATGAGTATTTAAATTTTAAACCCTTGTCTTTCAAGTAATGTTTGTATTTTCAGTTTCTTTGTGGGATCTGTAAAAGCCTACAAATTTTTTTATCGGAGTTGAATACCATGACTATCGATACAACCCTATCGTTCCAAGGATATGCCATTCAATAAGTGTCATATGAGATATAGACATTCATCCAGAATTTAAATTATACATTTTGGATTTTTTGTTTATGTTTACATGCCAGTTGCTATGTTACTTAACTATCAATTTACCATATATATTCTTGTCTTGAATATTTCATTTGTTTTAGTGCTGTTGATACAATAATCAAGCAGAAGCCTATGTCAGAAGGTCAGAAGAGGAGAAAATACCGAAAATATACATCCAGAGTACATGTTGAGGACATCTGTCAGGCACTTATGGCTACACTTTATGCACCTTCCCCCAGGTGAATTTCACTATAATTAACTTTCTGTTACATTTATTACCCTTGTGAAATGTTTCTTAACAAACGAAGTAAAAATTTCCATGAGTGAAGCAAATTGGCAGGATTATCAAACAATATATTCTACTCTTCTAGCCCCGCCCTTGCTCATTTTTAGTCTATATTGTGGAAGGTTATGACAGTTAAATCTTGAATTTTAGATGTATTTTAATGCCTTTCATCATGTGCATTTGCTGTTGCAATTTCAGAAAACAAATTTTACAATTCAAAACAGATTAAGTGTTTGTTTTCTCAAATTACAAATAGTCATCCAAAAAAATGCAACTACTGTACAATGATACATATGCATGATGAAGGCATTGACCGAGTCTCAGGCTGTTTATCTAACAAACACTGATCTTAACCTGGAGATTTCCTCATCATGAGCATGAAAACCATCCAACTGCTGTTTAAACTTTAAAGTGCTTACAGTATTATACCCAGGTTGTTCAGGAATTTATTCAGTTTTGTCTAAATATTGATTGTGTATGTTAGTCAACGTTTTAAAAAAACCATAATTGCAGCCAGAATACCAAGATTCTAGGAGTCTCTATGATTGCAATTGTGGCTGTATCAATCACATCTGTTTGCAATTTTCTACTATGTAAAGGACTGCACTGAAACTGAAATAATGATCGCAAAAATAATTTAAAACTTTAGTTAATATTTCCTATCTTCATTGTTCGTTGACTCATAGTATATCAACCCTAATAAGAATAAAGTGGACCAGAGCATTTAGTGCCTCTATGAGTATGAGTACGACCAATCAAAATCTAGGGATGTATTAAAATAAGGATAAAATTTGCATGCAGTATCATACGTAATGTTGGTGTTATTTTGCAATCAGAGTTAGAGTTTCACTTCTCTAAATTACGTAGTAAAAGATTTCATTAAATGTCAATGCATATTATTGAAGTAAAACTCTTTTTTTGATAAGAAAAACAACACTTGTCGAATCTATGATTCTATGTCTAAGTTTTTTCATTAAAATAATAATGAAGTATGTGCTGAATTTATATTAATGTTGAGTTTTTTACTTGCTCTATACTCACTTTCAGTGAAGTTTACAATATCGTTGATGATGACCCTGCTCCGAGGGAAGAAGTATTTGAATATGCAATGAAATTGGTGGAGAAAAAGTGGCCGGAATTGAAGTTTCAAAGTGTGGAGCAGAGGCAGAAAGTGATGTCTAGTGTAAATCCAAGGGGTGAGAAGCGAGTATGCAATGCCCGAATGAAGAGGGAACTTGGGGTACAACTTCTTTACCCTGATTACAGATCAGGACTGAAGAGCATAATTGACCACATTGAGAGGCCATTCCACTGTCATTGATCAATGTCTTATTCTATTGTCATCCATGTTTGCTTCCATATGGGGTGTAAATGCTATTGTTGTAGTACTTCACAATGTTGAACTTTTATAAAAAGCATTTGATATATTTATTTTGAAGATAATGTTTTCTTTAAATAATTTTAAAAAAAAAATATCAGTAGAGTACATTTATTTAAAGGTGTAACTTGGTAGAATGAGTATATGACCCAAAATAAATTAGTAAAAGAGAGGTATTATATAATACCTCATTTGGGTTTATATGATATAGCATTTTCCCCTTTCTTTACCGGCATTCGAACCTAATCTCTTTTGGGTGTGAGTTTAGATCACAACCAGAGAGACCAGATATGCCAGTAAACTATGTATGCATCTTTTATTATAAAAAGTACATAATCTCCTTTAGTATAGATTTTAAAATATATACCCATCTCCTTTTAATGATTAATATAATGAAAGGGTACTTAGTCAACTGAAAAAAGACCTTTTGACAATGTCGGTAAATGAAACCCCTTTGGAGTCCTAGGCAATTGAAAAGAATAATAATACATGATGGGAAAAGAAGCCCTTCGACACTCTTAATCACTGAAACATAAAGAAAAGTCGAAACTCTTTCGGCACCCTCAATCACTAAAACTTTGTCTGCAGTTCAGAGTGCTGAGAGCGTAACCTAGTTAAGAGAATCAAGTTAGAAACAATCAAGTTTAGTAAAGGTAAATCCAAGATTAAGAACTATCTAATCAATAATCTAAGACTAAATTCCATTGAACTAAAGCTCATTATGTCTTTCACCCAAAAGAAAAAGCTCATTAAGGTTACTATTAAACAGTGACCTTTATGGTAAAAAATATTGTTGCTTGATTTTTTATTGAGTGAAAATTTTACTTGAACGTTCTTTTGCAGGTATTAAATAGTGACGGACAAGAATCTTACATTTATATCTCGTTGATTAATTATAAAATGACACGTTAAGTGTATATTCATTGTTTGTAAGCATGATTCACATGTTTTACTGTCTAATTCTTTATTTCTCCTTTTATGGCATACCAACAAAAAAAGGTAAAAGAAAATAAACTTAAGGCAAAGGTAGTATAAATGAGTCTTAAGCATTCGGTTGTCAGCTACCAAACTTCAGAAGAAGAAAAAAGGTACTTTGTGCTGGCAGGTTTATTGATGCTTTGCTTGGACAAGTACGCGAGAATGATGGAAGATGACATATTCTTTGTTTATGTGAATTTTTAAGTGTACTGAAATCGATTATCTGGCCAACGTTCATTACTGAGAGGGTATTAAAGGCTAGGAATGAGAATGGAGATTAGAAGGGTTATTGGCTATTTATAGACACCTTCACGAAGGATACAGTTAAGAATAAGATGGTTATTCGATTTTCTATTACATACATAAGTAGATAACCAATTGGATCAACATTATTGATTTTAGGAATAAAATAAAACAAAATCTTTAATGACCAAAAATCAAATTTTAGTTATATTACATGTACTAAAATAAATTTAACATTTAATAATATTATGTCTTTGTCAACTTAAGATGAAAAATCAACTAGATGTTTCGACTTAATTAATAGTCCACAAACTCAAGTATTGAGTATATAGTTGTATTAGTGTCTATAGTTATACTCAATTCCAATGGAATTGTCTTCGATAAATATACCTTTAATTTATAAAAAAAAAAAAAATCAAGATAAAATCCAATAAAAATACCTCTAATAAAAAAAAACTTAAGATGAAATGTCTAATTATTTACTAACAAATATATTTAAGTAATTAAAAACATTTAATATATTCTAAAATAAGATTTTCTTTAAACAATTTTAAAAATATTACTACTAGAGAAAATTTAAATTACATTTTTTTTATTTAAAAATATGCACTTCTCTCTTTAATGATCAATGTGGTATACTAAAATTCTTTTCAATATAATTTATCATTTCAATTTTTTTTCTTATGTAGTGATTTTCAACATTATTGATAATTATGTTTAAATATTTATTATATCCTCTGTCTCATAATAACTGTCATCATAAGTCAGTTGTTTTATACATTTAAAAATAATAATAAATAAATGAAAAATAATAATAATTTTAAAAATAACCTTATAATTAATCATCTTTACTACTAATGCAACTCAATCTAAAAAATATTATGAGTACAAATGAAAAAAAAATAATTAATAGTATATTAAAAAACTCACATGACACTTTTTGACACTTAATTTCTCTTAATATACAAAACTTTTTATAGAATAGACAGATTATTAGTTTTGTGATTCTAAAAATGAAATAAAAATTTAGATGCAATTTAAATGTTGATAATAAAGGTGTTTAAAATACTGTTTTACCTACTAAAATACTAAAAATAAAAAATAAAAGATTTAAAACTATGTAATACAGAAAGTTATTAAAAGAGTCTATATATCTTCCGTATATACTTTTTACTATTATTATCATTGAGAGGATTAATACTTTAATTTCATCAAACAAAGAGTATAACTTACAAATATAAAACTTATTTTATGTAATTAGTTATATCAATAAGCAATAATTATAAATTATAAATATAATAAAGTATTAAAATAATTTTCTTTTTAAATTTATACGGGTAAGCATGTTCATGGTTTGTAAGCAATGCATGATTCACCGTGCGATGCAATGATTAGCATGTGTTTTCCAACCATCAATTCCTCTCTCTTCCTCTTCTCGCCAAGGAAAAAACAAACCGCAACACTACTTAACTTGAAAGCATTAGATTTGAGCCAACATTAATCAATTACAACATTCAGTGATCCTGTCTGACAAATGATAATCTTCAGAGTCGCCTTGTTCTCTATAGGTAACTCCTCCCACTTGACTGAACTTGCAAAATTATGTTATCTTATATTCATTGGAAATATAAATATACAAAGAGTTAAAAACACATTTAAGTTTCCAGCGAACGATGAGTGCAGAAATCAGCAACAGCAGCGGCAGCAAGTATGCCTCTCTTACCATAAAACAAGTGAAGCACCTTCATAGTTCATAATATACATCTGCCTTCTTGTTCTCGTCATTGCTTTGGCTCAGCATCATTTGCCAAGGGATGTTTATATTCATACAATTCATTCATATGAATGAACCACATCAACCTGACTGGAATTTCTGGTCAAAAGTCAAAATTAATTAATTTATAGCGTTTAAAATTATCAGTAAAGCTATACTACATAGAAAATATTAAATTCTAAATTGATGTCGTTGTTACTACTATAGTCTATAATTAGAGAATGGTCGACTCTTACAGCAAATGGAACTCAATCTTTACGATATCTTGCCCAGAAGCCTTTCTTCCTGGCAGAATCATTCTCAGACAGGGACCGGCTCCACTTGGACCCAAGTGAAAAGTGCCGCCTCAAGAATGGTTTTCCAAATGAGCTCCTCGTACTGGAGCTAGGCTCCATTTTTGAAACTTTTCCTCCCAATTTCACATCTTTTTGGCGATCAAAAACATCAAAATCGCCATCAAGGTAGCTATCAACTACACGGTTTCTGGATATCTTGTGGTTCTTTGCCTTAACCTCTGATTCAGCTCGAAGACCTCTTCTAGACAACTTTGACAAGTGCTTGTCTCCAACCATACAAATTGGACAAGCTGGATCATACCTATCTGCCTCTGGTGTCATAGCCTCTAAGCATTCTGCATGATATGCATGACCACAGACCAGTACAGCAACAACTGAGAGGTCGCTGCCAGTAATAAACTTCTGGTTGCTCCATGTTGATCTCTCGGTCAAAAGCTTTGAGCAAGCCCCACAAGATTGTAGTTCCATGGAGGGAGAATATGAGAACCTGCTACTGGATCCACATCCACTTATCTTGTGACGACCTGAGCCAAAACACTCACTATCGAAAGACCACCTTTCTCTCTGGGATGAGGCCACCAGCTCAGAAAAGGTGCGCATTGACCAGCCATCAGATGATCCGCATAGGGAGCCAGCTGCCATTTCATTACTGCAAGTAGAAAGTACAAATGATGGCCTTCCTTCAGAAATTGAGTTATCGGGTGATTTCAGACCCATGATTCGACTATCAGAAATCTGTCTCAAAAGAGGGTGTGCTGGTGATCGATGTGCCCATCTTGTCGGGGTAGTGTTGGGAAGATGGGGATAATTATGATTAGGCAAAGGATCCGCTGTAGGCGTCGAGAAAACTGAAGGTATTGAAAAAGAAAGATTTGGAATTGAAGATTCTGCCGGATTCTTCACCTAAAGAGAAACACAGATTAAGAGTAAGCCCAGTACTATGGTAGAAATCCTAAAAATTAGATTATGCACCACAAAGCTCATTGTTCCAATTCAGTTGCTCAAAACTAACCACTGTAGAAAAATTGCTTGACATGGACAGATCTGCAACAAGCACATAGAGGAAGAAGAAAGAAAAATCAATGCCAAACAAAAAAATGCAACCAAGGAACCAAAGTGCATAAAAGAGAGCATCAGGAACTGAATGTCAACCAATATCTGGGACCATTCAACACAACAAACCAAGTTTGAATACATTACTAGACAGGAAAACAGCAAAAGATAAGGTGGTGAACAAAGGCAATATATGATATAAAGAAGACAGATGTAAGATAAAGATGCCTTGTATAAGAACACAACAGGCAAAGTTTTTCTTTTATCAAAAGATATATAAAAATTCCACCTATTGTGTCCAAAACTATAGACTAATTATTTACTTATATTTCTCTATGCACAACATTGTCAGGCCAATTCGTATTCATTCCCATTGCCTGTGAGTAAATGGTGCAGGATTTTCATTTTCTGATAAGTATACTCAAAGGGCTTCAGTGACAAGGTTGACTACCAGTAATAGAGTAGTATTTCTCATGGGATAATTGCTCAACACAAAGAGTATTTCAACTGTGGTACTGTAGTTGCTGCATGATTGGGATCCTCTTTTACATAACTATAAGAATCAGACCTCCAAAAGAAGCAAGTGGAAGAGGGCTAAATGTTTTTACTAAGACTAAGATCCATCACACATCGTGCTTATGGTAAAGGACAGAAAATTAATACAGTTCAGAGTTTTAGCATTTACCAGAAGAGGGAGTCATCAGATTTGCAACCAATGCCTCATCAACAGGGGACTTCAGAGAAATGGGAGTTACAGAATTCTCCAGTATGCTTCCCCCATCAGATAAATTACCTCTTTCAGAACTTAATGAACCTTTTAACTCCATGCTGACATTCCTACTGTCCACATGAGATGTGTCATAGGAAGGATTCTCAATTTCACCAGCAACACGCCCCCGACTATCCCATTGAAAGCTCCATGATGGTGAACACACAACATCTCTATGCAAACTTTCACCTCCAGTTCTGCCAGGACGATTAGGATCCCTTGCAGCTACACAACAAGCTGATCCCATTACAACTGCAGACAAACATAATGGTCAATCTAGGCACAGACACTAATTACACTACTGTACAGACAAATCCAAGACTTACTGATAATTTCTTTTGAAAAAAGAAATCCAACAGTGTACCAGGAAATCACAATAGAAAACACAAAAAGCCACCTCAATTTCCAGCAAGAAATCGTAACCCTACTTCCTCCTGACAAATAAACAAAGAGGAAAGACAATTAAACTGAGATTTCAAGACAACATGCCTTAAAAACCCTCCAGAGATCAAAATCCTCAGACATAGTTAAGAACAACACTCTAATCTTCAGATTTCACATGCTCTAACAAATCTAATTCAGCCAGCATTCCATTGCAGAATTTAATAATAAAAAAGTGTTTCTATTAATTGCATACACCAAGTAACTGTGCTTCAACCATGAACACAAAGCTTCTAACAATAAACGGAGGGGAAAAAGGAAAAAAAAAATAATCAATTCCATAAGTATGACAAACTACTCAATCATCTCGCAAGTTCGTTCAAAACTAGTTCGAGTAAAAGATTTCCATACAAGCAACGCGATATGCAGTAATTAAGAAACATGAAAACAATTTCTAGGGTTTCGAAACATTGTAAAGACTATAAGAGTTGACAAATACGATTGATTATTAGGATTAACGAAACAGAGAAATGGAAGAAGAAGAAGAAGAAGAAGAAGAAGAAGAAGAAGCGTGCGCGAATCTTACTCGGAAACTAGAAATGGAGAGAAAATAATTGTGCAGTGGTCATCGTCTTGCGGATTAACAAGCAAACGGAAAGGGACGGCGCTATATATATAAGAAGGTGGCGGAAGGAAAGACGAAACGTTATGACGGCGTTAGGGTAGAGGTTGTTGGACGGAAATGGTGTCTCTGACTGTGACTCACTGCATCCTCTCTTCTGCAAAATTGTGTATCTATCTCTGGAGCGTTTTAATTAAATGGAAAATAAAAATTGCAGTGCAGGATTGAATATTATTATAATATAAGCAGTGGATGAGAATTTGGTGCTTTATTTTCCACCACGTGTAGCGCACTATAAGGTCACATGGATGCAATTTCATTCCGGTAATAACTTAGTTATGAAACTCCACATTGACCAAGATCCATGGTGGTCAATTTGTGCTACGCTCTGACTACGACTACGACCGTTGATTCGCACACCATCACAAACACAGCCCTTCAACTTCATATGTTGTGTTTATTACTCTTATGGGCCATGCCCACCCATCAAGCTGACTTGACTTTTCCTTAAAATTAATTCCTTAGTTTTTCACGAGTCAATGAACTTCAATTATGAACCTTGCCCAAACTCAAATTGCATTTCCACTTACTTCATATAGATATCTTTCACTTTTTTTTATTTTTATTTTTAGGTTTATAATTTTTATAATTTTATTTATTTTATATTTTAATTTTTATAATTTAAAATAGACATTTTTAATCAATATATATAATTTTATTAAATAAATTTAACATTAAATATAAAAAAAATAAATTAATATTTCTATCATGTCAATACTAGATAATGTTAGAAAAAATATTACATCAAAAATAAAAATATAAAAAAAATATATAAATATAGAAATTAAAAAATTTATATTGAACTATAAAAATTGAACAAAATTTAAAAAAAATAAAAATGAAAAATATTTATTTTAAACTATAAAATTAAATGATAAAGTAAGTAAAATTATTAATATGTATATATATATTAAGCATATTTTTATTTACCGTTGTTAATCATAGGATAATTACGTACTAAAAGTAAAAAATGCAATGAAATCAAATTATGAAGGCGGCCTAAACTCAGTGCAACTTGCGCTAACTAACTAAAATATCTGACTTGGGTTTGATTTTTATTTACAGTTGGTTAACCATTATACTAGATAATTAAGGACTGAAAAGTAAAAAAAAGAATATATATATATATATATATATTTTTTTTTTTTTTTTTTTTTTAAAGGGCAATTTTTAATATCATTAATTAGTCTTATTAACTACAATTAATAACAGGAAAAAAAAAAATTAGTTCGTCCCTAGAATAAATTGTGAAGACGGTGCATATACAAGGTAAGATTCGAACCTGACCTTGCTTAAGCGTGAATCAACTCCTACCGCTGAACCACACCCTTAGAGTTAATAACAGAATTTTTTTAATTGAGAATTACATTAGGGATGCATTGAAAATTTCAGTGAAAGTGTATGAATTATTTTTTTTTTCTTTTTTATTCATTCGATCTCATATTATTTATTTTTTCTTAAAAAGTAGTTGTAATTTGGAATGTAACTCAATCTTACAAAATTGATTAATAAAGTGATAATTATTTTCTACTTGTATATAATATTATGGTCTTATTTACTTTTTTAATCTCATATTATTTTCTTTTTCTTAGAAAATAAATTGGAATATAACTAAACCTTACAAAATTGACTAGCAAAATGATAATTGTTCCTCACTTATGTATGGTATTTTAGCCTTGTTCTTAGTTAGTATAAAATCTCTAACACATTCTTTCATATCAAAGATTAGACATCTAAAATGTAAAGTTTGCAAAATTAAACATTTGTGAGTGGTTCAATAATGAATAATTTGCTAAACTCAACAACTCTCATTATTGTTAGGATAAACTTTGATACTATTTTAAAATATGAGTTTAGACTTAACTCAATCTTATAAATGTAAGGTGAGGATTATTCTTTCATTTATATAAATTATTATGAACTTATTCCTAATTAATATGAAATATTCAACACCTTTTAAAACAATAATGTACATTTCTTTAAAAAAAAATTATCACCCGAAATAATTGTTTTTGACAAAATTATCATTATTAAAAGAGTTCAAATGCATTCGACATATCATATAAATATTTACGTGAGATATTAAAAAATAATAATGTTAGTAAATCTTTAATTTTTTAGAAATTTTTAATTAAATGTCTAAATTAATAAAAAAAACTATGTAATTAAGTCTTTAATTTTGTACAAATTTTATAATTAAGTCGTTGAAATTAATAAAATTATAACAAATTATTTTTTCTAGTGCTTTTAAACCATCATACACTTTTTTTTTTTACATTGAGAACCAAAAGTTTAAATTAAAAACCTTTAAAGAAAAATATAGATGAAATATCAATTAGCAAATCAATCATAACCCATAAAGAAGAATAATTAAAAATATGAATACCCTTTGGTAATATTTGACTATGCTTTGTGAAGTTATGCGCAAACTGATTTATTTCCTTAAAAATATGCATATATGTCAATTCATTAACTCTCATACACTAACTCTAAATATTATATTAGAAAAGTTATAGAAGGTCGATGTCTTAAGTACAATTTTTAAGTTTAAAAACTTAATTAAAAAAATGTAGAGACTTATTCATGTAAATCTAAAAAAAAAAAAAATTGATGTTTTCTTACTTATCTAAAGTCACAAATGTTTTAAGACCATATAAAAAAAAAACTTAAAAAGTAATAAATAAAATATTTTACTCTTAATTTCTTAACTTGTGTCTCATTTATCGTAATGTTTAATAATTTTCTTATTTAGTATTTTTTATCCAATATCACAAAATCATTTTTTATTTATTGTGATAGTACTTTATCGCTCGGTCCTTTATGTATGTTGTGCTTAAAGTCGTTGTTGACTTTGTTACATGTATGCACAAATTCAACAAACTCCCATTCTATTGAACTTATTAAAAACATTTATTAAAAAAATTAAAATGATTTATTAACAATACATCACTTTTATTGTCGGGTACATTTATTACCACTACAAGTTGTGCACTGGGCAAAGGCTACGCATGAATTCAACGAATAAAAAATATTATAAAAAAAATGTTACATGATTTATGACGTCAATAAGTGTTATCTATACTTACTTTATGTCATTGATTTAATTTTTTTCTTCAAAATATTGTTATTCAACTAAAATAGAAATAAAAAAAAGGGATTACTTTACATTTTCAACTAGTTTCAAAATTTCAATTTACCACATTCATTTTGTAAAAAATGCTTCACTTACGATGGAGTTCTGCTTTTCTTTTATTATTATTATCCTAACTGAAAATAAATAAATAATTAAATAAACGCTAAATATGAAATGTGTATTGTCCAACTGTCCTTTAAACCCTATATTAAAATGAAGTTTTTATAGTAAAATACAGTGCAAATCTATACTAAACGCATGTTAAAAATATAAACTTTTTGGAAAACCAAAAAAAGAAACTATTTTGACTTTTAAAAAAATTTATGAAAATGATTTTTTTTATTATGAAATCACTTCTTTTTAATTCTGACAAATGGATCATAAATAAAAAAATAAATAGTAGTAATTTGTTTTTGGTCTACAAAATTAAAAGCAGTAATTATATAGAGTGGAGAAAGGATCATATATAGGTCCAAAGTTTTAAAAAGCCCAAACTAACTGAAGTTTGCTTTAACCTGAAACTATAAGTCCAACTAACAATTTGGGACACTTGTTTTCTGATTGGAATTGGGTACATGTTTGTCAGAGAATCAAGTTAGGAATTAAGATGACGTGGATGGAATACCCCCAACAAATTATATTCTTGTAAATTCATTAAATTACATGTTAAATTTGTTTAAAACGATTATGTTAACTAATTAGTATGCAAAATCTACCACCATGTCATGATATGAATGGAATTAAACTTAGATACTCTAAACAGATGTAGAGTGTAAATGAAAAAAAAAAAAAAAACAACAAAGAAAATATCAATAACATATATTGACAAAAAAATTGCAAAATTTACAATTCTTTGTACATAATAATTAATATGATAATTATACGTTTTCTATGATTCATTTTTAATTTGTAGCACCGCAAGTTATTAGTACAAAGTAATTTAATATTTATGTTCTTTAATCAAAAATTAAAATTTAATTCTTAACTTAAACATAAAATAGTGAGTAAAAATATCACTTTATTTTTGTAATTGGATCGACTCTAAAGAATAGTATTCTTATCTCTAAACTCAAGAAACACTTATAATTTTCTATTAGTCACCAAAAAAAAAAGTGAAAAATTCAAGCTTACTCTACTAAAATGTTTGATTGAGATACTTTGTCTTACTCCACTAACAAAGCTGATTAGATTAATATCTATGCATACTAAATAAAGAAATCCGTCTTATAAATATAAACCCATATTTAATAAACATATAAAATTTCTGTTTCTATTCAATTGAGGGACATGGAGAGAGAAATAATATTTTTTTCTTTTGAAACATAGAGAAGTAGTATAATTTAATAATTAATACAACAAGAGTGTTAATAATGGAAATATCTATCATCAATTTGCCACTTTTGTGTGTGTATTAATACTCTTATTCAAATTCAGATATTTTTATATAAAGTTTCCTCCTCCTCTCCTTTGTTAATCAAACCAATAATTTAGAAGAAAAAGAAGGTTGTAAAATTTAATCAAACAAAAGTGACAGCAATAGACACCGTCAAATACAGGTTTCGTCATAACACTGTTAACAATCTTTTTTCCCTTTTTCGGGTAATAATTTTGCATTCTTCTTTATTTCTCATGAGTGCAATTTACACATATGCTAGATCACCGTATCCATCGCTTTATCACTTTAGTTTTACCAAAAGGCAACTAAGAATAGCGAGACGAAGAGTTCACGAATCACGATCTCTATGCAAACAACCAATAGTACATTACCTTTTGAAGGCAAGAACCAATACCATTTCTACATTTATAAAAGCACACCCATAATAACATACGCATTATTATATTAATATATGAAAAGAAAAAAAGAAAAAAAGAAACAAAAGAAAGCAGAGAATGCACTTATGACTTACACCGACATCCATTTTTCCAAAACACTGGACAGTGGCATGTAGCATGTAACATGCGACTCTGGTGAACAAGCAACAGAACTTTATGACTTAATCAAATGCCATCATGTGATTTGATTCCATTATTTAAGCACACCGTAGCAAAAGTTCTGGCACTCTAGTAACAATAATGATATGTCAATAATAAACATTGCCTCACCCTAGTAGTAGAGCAGGTGCCACTAACATTTTTTATATTTACCAAACAGAAACACTAGTACAATCAAAACAGTACGAACCATTCCTTAATTTGTGAGATATTTCACCACTGAAACATGTCTGCAGCAGCCACAATTGGTTGGTTAACATAGGCCATGTGCATGGTGTTGATGAAATTATTATTGTCATAATAATAATAATTATTATTAGTATCATAATAATTATAATGATCGGTGGTGGTTGAGTTGATGAGGTAGGTGATATCGTTGAGTGATTGCAGGGTTTGGGTGAGTTCAGTTTTCTGGGCCCTGAGGATGAGGTTTTGGGCCTCCACCTTGAGATAGTGTTGGGTGGTGACGTTCACTTTGGCCATGATTATGCTATTTTCCCTTTTGAGACGCTCCACTTGTGCAATGAGATCGTCCACGTGTTGCTGCCTTCGCATCCTCGATCTTCTCGCTGATTCGCGGTTCGATTGCTTTCTCTTCTTTTTTCTTTGTTCCATCAGAACCTGCAAATCCTCCTCTTTCGTAGACATGCTCGAGGTTCCACTGGATGAGGCCATCATATCATATAATTTACACCAAACTTGAAAAAAAAAAAAACAAAAATTGCAAATTCTAATTGAGACCCGAGATAAGAAGTGATTTAAGCTACAATTATTATTATGATTACTAAGATATAGGACCATATACTAATATAAGGTAAAGTGGTGTTGGGTGGGTTAATTATGAGAACACATAGAACCAATAGAGGAAGACAACGGAGAAAGATTGAACTAAGTGGGTCCTGCGTCTGAGGGAGGAATTGATCATAAACCCGGAACGAAGGATTTCACTGAGGACTGGAGACATTAATTATGTGACACATGAACATATGTTATAGGTATTAATCATGCATCGAGATTCAAAGGAGAAATTGTTGTGATGCAAAGGGGAAAAAAACACATAGAACCAAATGGGTAGGATTAGGAAAGAAAAAGAGGGCAGGGTTTGGGTAAGGCAGAAGAAGAAAGGGTGAGGGAGAAAATAGAGGGAAAGAAATGCAGAGGCTTAAGGGGTGGGAGAGGAGGAAGGGAGAAGAGGAAGTAAAAATTGTAGCAGAAGGGTGAATTTATAAGGAGAGAAAGGGGTTGGGAAGAGTGAAAAAGAAAATAAAAAATGGAAAAATGGGGTGAATAAAAGCAAATGGAATCGGAATATCCTGTGAGGGTGGGACAAGGCGTGATTGGGCATGCTTTGTGGACAAAACTTTTACCACAAGTGACATGAACACAAACTAATATCAACATATAGGGTATGAAATTTATATTGTTTAATCAATTTTAATTAATTAAAAAGTTTGTAAGAAAGTATGTGATTAATAAAGGATTGATGTTTAAAAAATGTGGTGTAAAAATATGATTAGTAGTCCCTAATAATTCGATTATTTGCACCTTGCAGTTTGTACATTGTACACTACACCCACCGTAGATATACGATGATCTTTTATCTTGTCATTATCTACCCCTCTTAAACATTATATACAAACTTTTACTAACAAATCAATAAAAGTTGATCAAGTTAATTAGAAAATATTTTTAAAATAATACTTTTAATAGGTTCAACTTTTACAGTTGATGTTAAAATTTTATCGGTAAATAATCTATGAATACATATGTGTAAGTGTTCATATAAATATTTTTTGAGAAATTCTACGGTATCCACAATAATTTTGGGGTACCGGAACAGTCATTTTTATTTTTTTATAATTACTTGTTTTATTTTTATATTAATTTAATATTTTTAATAATTTATCTGTGTTTTTTATATTTTTTTTTATATTTTTTAATTTATATCTTAATAATAATTAAAAAGTTTAATATTAATATTTTGTTAATACGTTTTAGTTTTTTTTGGTGATAACTTTTTTAAATTTATAGTATAAATTAGTTTTTCAGTTATATTATTTTTATTTTATTTTAATGTTTTTATAATATTATTATAATTTTTTGTTTTTAATTTTTTAATTTAGTCAAATATAAATAAAATTTGTTATGAAAATCGACTTTTTAATTATTTTGTTTTGAATTAGTCTTTTTAATTGATTTATTTTATACAAATTTTTAATCTAAAATTATGTTATTTTGAATTTATTTTTAAAATTTATTTATTTACATAATGTGATGTACTAAAACTTTTCAATTTTCGTAGGTAGTGTAGCAGTTCTCATATTTTTCATGAGTTTTCGAGTCCAATTTACTTTTAAAAAATTTATAAAAAAGTTAATATGAAATTTGTTGCCCAGTCTTATTCATTGTCAGTTTGTTCAAGGCTACTGTTGGGTTTTATAGATTTGTCGAGACATAGTAATATTATCCTTCTTATTTAAGAGATAGTTAAATTATTTTATTATTTAAATCATATTTTTCAAAAATAAAATGTGATAATTTTTATTTTGTTTTTTGTTTTATGTCTGTTTGCTTCAAAATTTTCTCAACACAATCAGCAAATTTAACATATTACAAGACATTGAACTTAAGGAAAAAATATAACTAATTGGCGTAAATTGACATGTTCCTCGCCTTTTGGCAGTAAGGACCCTCACTTTGTAAACTTGCATTAATTTCGTCCAAATATGCTATAAGTGGCTTTGTATATTTCTTTTTCAAATTCGTACACTTCCAACAATTACAGACAATCCTACATCATCACCACCATCAACATGAGCTAAAGAAATTAATGAAGCAATTAATATATATATATATATATATATATATATATATATATAAGGAGGGATCCGTTTACTC